TTCTTCATTACCCATTCAAGCCGTCTCCAACCATTATTACACGAGAGCTATCTGCGCTAGCCGTCTCTAATTTAGCAGTGTAAGACTAAAGGGAAGACAGCTAGTCATCACAACCCACCACCAACTCTTGGGCTACTCTTTTACCAACCCTTAATTTTGAAACGGTAGGCAGCTAGTCAACAACACCCACCGCCAACATTTGGACTACCCTTGCCGGACAAAATAGTGGGACTTTACCGTCACATTTAAAACTTACCCACGACACTAGAGTGTAGAACACGATTTCTCGGAACCTAAGATACACAAACATATTCCGGCACGTTAAACATTGACCAACGTTCAGCCTATATATGATGAAGTGAATTCGTTTGTGTTCTTTGTCCCAGGCCTCCGGCCCGGCATGGCCAGATGGTTAGGGCGCTAGACTCTCAACCTGCCGGTTCGAATCCCCGTTCCACCAAACATGCTCGCCCTTTCAGCCGTGGCGGCGTTATGATGTGACGGTCAATCTCACTATTCGTTGGTAAAAGAGTAGCCCAAGTGTTAGCGGTTGGTGGTGATGACTAGCTGCCTTCCCTCTAGTCTTACACTGCTAAATTAGGGACGGCTAGCGCAGATAGCCCTCGTGTAGCTTTGCGCGAAATTCAAAACAAACCAAACACAGGCCTCCCAAAATCGTACATTGGATTTTCTGATCCGCAGCCCGGCATGCAAGAACACTTGTGTTGCCATATGATGTATACAATGGTGATTGGGATTTTTTTTTATATATTCCGCCAATTTCTCTGTAGTGGCTTCATCAACTGAATACAATTACAGTGCAGACTGTGTATTTTTTAAAGATTTTAAACTGGTTTGAGATAAACTTATTTATTGAATTTTATCATATTCTTATCTTCCATATAATCGTCCTTGATACAGGAGAATAGGCTTACTTATTGTAGTTTTTTGCTCTTGGCACCTGGCCAATTTGGCTAGTGCCAACATCAGGAGAAAACGAAAATAAATTCGATTTTATCTGAAATACGTTCCTTTTAAATTCAAGACATACATTTATTAACATCCCGATGCTTCGTAATATCAGTGGTAAGTCTGAGGGCTTTTTACGCGAAAAATCGGGTCTCGAACAGAACATTATGTAGCTTTGTGCTTAATAACAAATACTCAAACGAACGTAAAAGTCGTAGATTGTTTGTTTGTTTTGGAATTT